AAGAACCGATTATACAGAACTGAATGAACTGATGAGGATGATTATAATTTTTATGACTTTTATTTGAAATATTGTTGATTTTTTGATGTTTTGCTTTGTTTTCTCAGATTTAAGGAACTCTTTTTCTCTTTTCTCTTATGCTAACTATGACTTATAGCAATTTAGTGAAATGATACATTTATGAGCAGAACTGAAACATTTATCTTTTTCTCACTACCTGATCCCTCCAGAATTTGGAAACCTAGTAAGTGAGTGAGTATGATTATTTCATTGCAATATAGTTATTTGCATAAGTTCAATGAGAATCTGTTCTCCTTGTAACAGGACACAATTGGAAACATTGGTTATCTTAAGAAAGCTTTGACTGGAATGTCATATTTGAGAGAAACATACAGACTCAGATATGACAATACTGCCTTTGAGGAATAAGGTTGACTTTCTGGAAATAAAGCCACTTGGAAATATGGGCCTGGTACCTTATTTACAGAGAGAGATTCCAGCAATCTTACCTGGTAAGTAAGGAAGCTTGCTTATTTGGCAGGTGCAAGGAGCCTCAAAATATTTTGGGGAATATCAAGAGAAGAGAGAAATTCACCGAAATCTAAGGTATTGCGGGCAAGGCCTGATGGTACAAATCCTTGGCTTGGCTTTCCTGGCCTCAAGAGGTCTTTAAAGTTCAATCTGAGGTTCCCCATAAAAAATTCCAGCAAAGCAAATTTAAGAGCCTGTATGATCAATTGCTATTCTTGTTGCACTCATGTAAATAATTGGCCCAAGTTTATTGAAACGAAACTTATTTTGCAAACCAATTAGTCTTAATTTGGCTATCCTTGGTAAAAAAAAAAATGAGGGTGATTTTAGAGAAAAATTATGTTTCAGTGGAAAAAACCCATAATACACATTTGTGGATATTACATCCTAGTTCTGTTAATTGTCTTTGAGGCTTTTTTTCTACCTGTGAACTGGACTGGACCCTGAATTCTATCTGATTAAAAATCTCCAAACTAACGTTTTCAATTTTTTCCCTCATTTTCATTTGGAATCATTGAGAATTGAACCTGCTCTTTTTCCTGAAGCCTTGCAAACTGAAGCTGAACAACTTGATAGAAGCTTAAGAGAGATTCCTGTCTGTTGCTGTGTAAGCTGTAAGCCACTTAAAAAGCCACCTGAATGCCCGATGACATCATCAGAGACATTTCAAGCTGCAAAAGATGCTTTGACTCTGACATCTAGAAGTCTTCTTGACTGGCTGCCTCCTGGATTCAGGAACTAGTTTATAATTTGCTCCAACCATTAACCTTGTTTTTCTTTTTATTTCCACAGAAATACTTATTAAATACCTGATTGCTTGCTCCCAAAATATAGGCCTAACTTTGGGAGCCTACCTGCATCACTGCCTTCTAAAATGACTTTAACTGGACTGATCTATCACCAGGACTAAGAAATGTGTTCAGTGAGATGAAACAATCTACCACTCAGCTTCTGGAGTATGAAACTTCTTAAAGTTTCAAAGGACTGTGAAACTTAACGTTTCAAAGGCGGGACCGTGGGGGCCTGGAATTGGCCACCCCAAGATATGTCTCTTTGGCATGAGGATTGTTTGGGGCTGGTTACTTTTAATAAACTGCACACAGGAAAGCAACTCTGAAAAGCAGAATTTACTCACCCCTTGTTAAGAAACATTTACATTGTAAAGGAAATCTCCATCTGTAAAGGTGTCTCCCTCTCTGTACCAGGAAGAAAGGGGGATGACCTTATCTCTAGAAACTCTTTATCAATGCCAAAGGCAAGGACTTAAATCTGCATCTTGTTTACTGTACTTGTGTGGTAATCTCCCATAACTGACTCCCCTCACCCCCAACATCCTCCTTTGTCTTTAGCTGAAGATGATATTTAGGATGGTGGCTTCAGCCATTCTGGAGAGTTGCTCAGCTTGCCTGAGCCTCTCCCATGTATACATGTTATAAAGCTGTGTTTAATTTTCTCCTGTTACTGTGTCTCATGTGAATTTAATTCATTCTCTGGCCAGAAGGACCCACAGTGGGTAGAGGAAATGTCTTCCTCCTCTACAAGGGCAAGTCCCAGTTAAACACAGGCGACACTCCCCTGGCCACTGCTCTCAGGATGCTTCCATTTCTTTGGTGGTACAGAGGGTAAAACAATACCAACATCGCAGGGTAGTGGCAGGATCTAATTAGGTCATGCAAATTGTCGGTTTTTCGTTCACTACCCCATGCCTGACCTCCCCTCCTGATCCCTAAATCCACCCAGCTACCTTGAGCCCTCTTGTAGCAGGAGCACCAGCAGCCTTGGCCCTGCCGACCATCCCCTCCTCCTGTTTCTGCTGCCCCTCCCCTGCCCCACCTCCCATTAGCTCCTACTTCTCTATCCCAGCTTCTTCCTCCACTCTCTTCCTCTGCCTGTTCATTCTTCAGGGGTGTTCCCAGGTCCGTTCTCTCCTCCACCTGCCTGCTCTCTGGCTCAGCTTCACTCCCATGGTTTTAATGATGCTACAGGTCAGCCCTGACCTCTCTCCTGAGCTTCACACTCACTGGAAGACCAGGCAGTCACGAACTCCTGCCCCACCTCCAAGCTGCTGTTTTTTGCAGCTGTCTATGGCACTGGCACCCACCTGTCACCCCACGCCAGAACTGGGAAACCACTATCTCCTCTCAACACTGTTGGCGACTGAGCCTGCCTTTGTCGCTGAACATCCTTCACATCCAGCCTCCTCTCTGTCTCCTAAATCTCTTCCCTGCTTCCAGTTTCAAGTCCACGCTTTTCTCTGCCATCCTTTCCTTAAACTCTTTGCCCACAAAATGAAATCCCAGTGCATCATGGTCTACAGGCCCTCTGCCATCCAGCTTCTGCTCACCATTTTGGTGTCACACACCACAAATGTCATCACACCCTGGGGCCCTGCCAGGCTGAGTTAACCCTCCAGGATCGTGCTGGGGCCTTGCCTCCTCTGTGCCCGCTTCCTGCTGACACTCACCAGAGGAAGGGCCTCCATTCCCCGAAGTCCTTTCCTGACTTGTACACACTCCTATGGTTGTGGAGTTCACGCTGAACTTTAATTACACCTTCAGGTGTTTGTCTTCTTTCTTGGACCATACGCTCCTTTGGAGGATTGCCCATTTCAACCTGTCTCTCCAGTGCGTGGGGTAGGTGGCCCATATTAGGTCATCTCCCCCACAACTTCCAGAAGAAACTGCCACTGCCCTCCATTTTCCCTCCTTCCTCTGCGTGGTACTGTTACCAAAACCAAAGTGGGTTCCCTCCTGGCAAATTAAGTCAGACTCTCCACCAGAAGTACTTGTCTCACAAAGTGACAAATAGAAATGGCAAGCAGTAGGATATATTGGATCATATGAAGAAGCCATTTGCTGTAAACTCAATTCGGCCTTTGTTTTTCCAAAAGGGCCTGATGTGGCCGTTGAGCAGGCATTGTGTATCTGCTTTAAACATTTACTACGGCAAGAACAAATGGCCTTAAGATAAAGGTGCAACTCCCTCCCTCATTGGCATTGCCCTAAGGATAAGCATCTTTCCTTAGGCTAGGAACTGACTGCTGCGCTCACCTTTGACCACCCAGCTCACCTGTGACCACTCAGCTTGAGAGAGACCTACTTGCTGTGTCCATCAATCACTGCCCCGACAGAGCAGTTTCGCGACTATTGTAAAAGGGACATTTCAATCATACGTGAAACACCCTCTTTGGGGGTATATAACCACTCTGTACACCCGACTTCTTTGGTGCCCTCTCTTCCTTCAGGAAGAAAGGCCCTGGGCCATGGTCCTCACATTTTAGCTGAGAATAAACTCACCAAAATCTTCATTTATGGATTGGTTATGGATTATTTTCGTCGACAAAAGTAAGGTATATTTGTGGGAAATAGGAGACCATGCAGAATCATTTCCAAGTCATGGCATCCTCGAACAAAGGGAAGCAGGGACATTTATTTCAGATGGGGAATGAATACTCAAGAGGGAAAGGTGGGTGTCCTCTGGCACAGGCTCAGTTGGAAAACACGCTGCCATGTACACTGCAGGTTACTGTAATAAGGCCTAAACTCCTCCTGGAGAGACCTTAGCATTGAAAATAAGGCAAAAGATCATGGTGAGGCCTGGTCTGGTTCAGGGTGGTTGGTGACTGCATCTCCTTACCATAACAGGAGGGAAAAAGACAATTTGGAAAAACAGTTAAATGCTTCCAAACCGACCCTTGAGTTCCTTGGGGTAACTAGTTGGTGACAGTACCGTCTGAGTCCGGGGAAGCCACCCTTGGACAGGCAGACTTTTAGGTTTCCAGGGCTTGCACCACCCCCCCCCCCCCCCCAGCCTGCTAAGCTCACCCCCCTTTCAGTTGAGCCCAAGGCCGGGGAGGAGACCAGTTTGGGAAATAGGTGGATGTTGAGTAAACAAACAAAAAGTGGGGACTCGCTGCCTGGCAGCCTCTATAGGAACCCTTTTCTGATTGCAGTCACAGCAAACAGTGGGCTATTGACTCAGCTTCTCGGAGCTATTAATGAGACAAGGAAAGGCTCACCTGCCCCGCCCCCCAGGGTGAGCGAGCCTCGGGCCACAGCGATTGGTGGAGGGGCCTGAGCCGGACCTGGGCCAGCAGTGGTGAAAGGGAAGGAGCACAGGGACATCTGTCCATCCACCTTCCACCACCAGTATTGGGAGCTGCTGCTACAAAACAGGACTTCTCACTTTGGGTTTGGGCTTTCTCAGTCCTATTCCAACATTCAGTGACTTTTTTCAAGTCATGTGGCCCCTGTTTCCCTCAGAGCCTTCTTTCTCCCATACCCATCCAGCAGCTTGATCCAGCTCATTAAAGGACGAATTTTTTACTGAAAAGAAGCCTATCAATGTCCAGGCAGGAAATGAGCTGTAAACCCCAGAAACCCTCCTAGCACTCACCCTCCACTAAAAAAAAAAATTACACACACACACACACATCTTATTTTACTACTGAAATACCTTACTAGAACAAGTTTGGCAAATTAATTTTAATATACAGATACAAAACAACAAATATAGATTCACAGCATTTACAAGGAATCATTAAAATAACATTGTAAATAATTTTTTTTTTACAAAAACTTCATTCAACAAAAATACATATCAAGTTACAGCAATCTTGTACAACACACTTCAGCTGTCAACAGCTAATTCGTCAGCTTGGAAGCTGTCACTTCACTAATTCAGATAGCATCATCTTGATGAGTTAAAATTGAAGGAAAAGGTTACCAAAAGCCTTGCAAAGTAGGTAAGGCAAACACAACTGATGCTAATATTTACCCAAAAAGGCAAATTATTAAATTACAGAACCAGTTAAAGTATTTTCTTAATGCAATTTCAATGCCTGTAAAACTAAAGGCAATAATGTTAAGTGTGTTGTAGCCAAGTATATTTTTATGAAATATTTAAGGTTCCGGGTTCTTTTCAAGACCAGATAGTTTCCACGTATTTTTTTCAGTTTTTTGGAACCCACTTTCCTTGCCTCCATCCTGAGAACAGCAGCACTAGCCCAGGGACATTTCAGCAGGGCGAAGCGCCTGCAGGTTAAGCCTATCACAGGGACAACTGGTTTTGAGCAGTTTGGCCTTGATGATCTGTGTCCAGCACCCCTGGCCGGTCAGCCACGGAAAGGACGTTTCTCCATACTGTTGGCACCATCCCGTGAGGGACACATCTGTTTCTCCTCTCCTTGAAACAATAATACTACAGCTACCTCCTCCATGACTCCAGGCAGTGGGGCTGTTCCACTCCGGCGAGGGAACTAAGGCGCCTCCTACTGGGGATTTCAGCACTTCGGGCATGTAGAGAGTTCGAGCTGATGAAATGCTGGATCATGGCTTTTACAAAAGATGTCTATTGTGAAACAGATTTTGAATTAAATGCACTTTTGCTTTGTGTCTAGACAACAGCAATGTAGGATTGAGGGGATTTTCTGCACAGGCACAGAGTTAGTCTTCGTCTGGATTAGGGACAAAAGGCACAACGATATTCAGAAATAGTGTGGGGATGAAAGTGAAATGTTTTCAACTACAAAATCACATCTACGGAAAATAAACTAAGCAGATGGTATCCCAGGAGAGCTCTGGCCAACTGCCGCCACTCGTGTTCTAGTTTGCAAGACCAAGAGAAAGAATGCTGTTTCTCCAGGATTTTACAAATGTTCTATTTTGTGATTGCTTATAATCTACCGCAAGGTTGTTATGCATTTTAGGTATGATCAAAATTGAGAAGGTTGCTTTTGACCTGAGGCCACTTCAACTTCTTTCAACAGAGTTGGCAAATTCTGAAATATGAATGATAGAATAAGCGAAATTCATCAAAATGTTACCCCACCTCTTTTTGTTTGCTCCATCCATATTATGCAGTGTAGAGAGAAAAAAGAGAAAGACAGAGACAGTGAGATTCTCAGCGAAATTCATACATAATCCATATGGGAGGTTCTTTGTTTTTTCTCTTTCCAAGTGGACCATGTGACTTAAATCAAGAAGGAAGTTTGGCAAACCCCAAATTAGAACACTTGAGCCACTGATTCTTTATAGAACTCGGGTAGCTGGTCACACAACCCAAGCTAGACATACCGATTTCAAGAAGTCAAAGGATGTTTCATCCTTTAAATATATTTTAGCAGTTTTCAAAATCACCTGAAAATCCAAGCAGGACCCACCCAGACCAGATATTTGATCAAACGACTCGCACATGGCACATAGCTGACAGGGCCGCCCTGGGGTCCCAGCTGCCTGCTCCTGTGTTAGGAAGCCCACGGAGGGAGAGAGGGAAACCAGAAGATAGGGCTCAGCTGGGAAATGACGCAGCACCGGTCAGAGAACTTAAAGCATTTCTTCACTGCCCATTAGTAAACAGTAAACGGAAGCCCTCCGAGGGGATCTTTACTTGAACTGAATCCTCACTGAAAATGTAACACGAGCAAATAATTCTCTTTACTTCCTTAAAGTAATTCTCTTACATTAAAAAAAAAACAACTCAACTGTTCAACACTGCTGTATGTACAAACAACTCTATTTAGCACAAAGACCCCTACAGTTATTGCTTAGGGGTCCACAAAAAGGATATTAAGTATAGTCTTTAAAATATATCATATTTTGTTAGTAAAAAGGTCAGTTACATAAATGCAACTAAAATTGAGATGTCTATTCAAAAACGAAACACACGTGCATGCGTGCGCACTCGGTATGAAGGGCCACAGAGCAGCTCCGGGGTCGTCAGCCACAGGGCAACACAACCTTCCAGCAACACGGCCTACGGGCCAGCACAGGGGCCGGGGAGGGTCACGAACAGATGAGATTTCCTGACGCGTTTTCACACAGCACTCTAAGGCCCGCCCAAGACGTGCGGGACTGTGTCGTCTTGATGCATGCCGTCACCTCCTTCAGCAACAGCTCTGGGTGCGGTGGAGGGTGGGGGGAGTGGGGGAACGGCACACTTGGAGACTCAGAGTACACCTGTGTCTATCACAGCCCAGGTTTGTCTATTCTCAAGCAGGGGCCTAGTAGAAAAAGGAACTTTCCGAGAGTAGCATACAAAAGTGTGTCTCAATAGAAAACCAGCAAGGGTGCCATGCGGCAGCCCCAGGCAGTGCACTCAGCAAACCAGAACGGCACCTCTCTTGCAGAGTCTGTCTTGTCTGGACATATTTAAAAGTTATTTTCATCAAAATTTACAATATAGACAAAGACAAAGAGATTACTATTGACAGGTATCAGCCCATGAGGCCCTGGTGAAAAAAGACTGCTGAGTCTAGACACATTTTGTCAAGGTCTCTTATACAGAACGAATCTTCCGAGACCTGCTGACGTGCTACCAACAGTACAGTCAGTGCGACCGCAGCGGTTCACGCAGCGCAGCCACTTCAGACCCCGAGGAGGCCGAAGTGCTGTGGACCTCATGCTTTCTCGGCGGAACGTCCATGTGACTGTAACTTAATTGGCGAGGACGCCAGAAACAGCCGGCAGAACGGGCACAGCGCTGCTCCTTCAGAATGCCTCCCAGCTGGTGCCCCTGCACACTCACTTCATCATAAAACTAAAGGAAATGGGTCTTTATGCGGCAAACAGATACGTGTGAAGAGCGTTTCTTGGTTAGGACGTGCTTTCTGCGCGTGGAGTTACACCCTGCACACGGGCAGGCGGCTTCCTGACTCGAAAAGGACACGCCCAGCTCGCACGCAGTAGGCTCTCCCACCCCCTCCCTTGAAAGCGCCAGCGTCTTCCCTAGGGTGGGTCACGGGTGGGTGGCTCCGCAGTGCAGACCTCGCCGGCCCCGCCCAGCTCGCCCGCCTTCCCTCCAGCTGTCGGGGAGGAATCTGCACTACAACTCGGCAACTGTGTAGATTCCGAGGACGCCAGGGAGCACCGCGGCCACCTGCACTGTCCCCTCACACTGTGGAGCAGACAGCCGTGGCGCAGGCGCGAGGCAGGATCGTACCAACCCACCCCGATCATTCCTTGCAAAGTCCAAGGCGGACAGCCCGCTCCTCGGGGCCTCCCTCCTGACCTGAGCGCGGCTCGGCTCAGCGTGCAGGCGAGCCTGACGCTACTGCGCATGTCTGCCGCGCCGCCACCGGCCGCAGGGGCCCCGCGCGCCGGACACGTGCGTCACGCCCTCCCCTCCTTCCAAGGAGGTAGCTGGGTCTCCGAAGACTGAAGGCGACTCCAAGTCCTTCTCTTCTTCACTGATCCCCAAAGAAGTGCTCAGCACGGGTCCGTCCGTCCCTTGGATTTAGCGCAGAAGAAACCAGGCGGCCCCCTCCCCCGCGGCGGAGCGCGCCCGCGTCACTTGCGGAAGGGCGTGAGCTTGTTGAAGGTGTGCCAGAACAGCGAGGGCTTCCGCCGGGGCTCGGCCAGCGCGAAGACCTGCTGCTGCGGCACGCTGGCCGGCACGGTGACGTGGCGCTGGTGCACCGGGTGCAGGCTCTGGGGCGGCGGCGCCGCGGGGCACGCGCTGTAGCCTGCTGGGAGGGGGGGAGGGAACAGGCACTGCGGTCACTTGTCAGCCAAAAAGGAAAAAGAAGCGCCAACTCCGAGTTCTTCGCTAATTCTCAATTCATGGGAACCAAATTACCTCTAAGAGCTATCATAACAAACACGTTCAGATACCGCACGCGGAGCGTGACATAGGTTATCTCACTGAATCCTCACAAAAACCCTCCAGGGAACGTCCCATTACAGCGAGGTGACTGGGAAGGAAACTGAAACCCAGAGAGGTTATGTAGATCGCCTATGGTCACACAGCACTAAGCAGCAGAATTAGAAGTGGGCTATTTGGGATGAGAAGCAAAAAAATGCTTTCAGTGAGAGCCTGCAGCTCATACTGCCTCGGCCCAAATTCTGGTTTGCCACTTAGAGGATGTCGTTATTTGGGAATTTGATGTCTCTGCACCTCAGGTCCCTAATCTATAAAATGGGGATAACAGTACCTACCGGCTTGTCATGAGAATTAACTGAGTTAATATAAGTAATATGTATTACTGTAGTTATTACCTAATTGCTTTAATGAAACTACTGCTTTAGAGTAGGCATTTTAAATCTGTGTAGACGTAATTTAACAGGTTATTAAAGTTAGCGACCAGATGACAAGCTAACTGTGAAAGTAGGCAGGACACGAGGGAAGCGTGCGGGTTCTGGAAGGAGCCTGCGCCTGCCTCGGCTCCCCTGATCACCCAGGCCAGGGCGGGAGAAGACCAGGCACTCAGGGGAGTGCCTGGCAGGCCGCCACCAGAAAGGCTCCTCCGGCTCCTGGTTGCTGGGCTAGGGACTCTTGGAAGATGTGGACAGAAACTAATGAATTCTAACAAATTGCTATTTACTAGTCACCTGCCGTTAACAGTGGAGAGGCAAAAAAAAAAAAAAGAGTATAAAATGGGTTTTTCTGCCCTGAAGATATCTGTAACTTGGAGCAGGGGAGTGCTACGTGGCGTTCTGGTGACAAGTCCTTGGCCCCTCAGTTGGTGGCGCCTCATGGTCCCAGGCTTACCTGGTCCTTGTTTTTCATTTTCAGTTAGGAAAATACTGAATGGGACCAATTTCATAGGGTAAATTCCTCTTAGAGAAGAAAGCCAACCTGCATAAAAGTTCTAAGAGTACTACACATATTTCTGGAATAAAATCATTATTTTACTCCTACTGGGCTGGATCATTTGCATGGTCTGCACTGTGGGAAATCTTTCCTCGCACATGAGGACCCTGGGGTGCGTGAGGCGGGCACAGGTATTTTCTAAAGCTGCCCAGGTAACTCGTGTGCGTGGAGGCAGAGAGAACCTGCTCTAAATAAGCCGGGGCGTCTCCTTTTTACCTCCTGGCCTGACGTCCTGAGCTTTGAGCTCTGCCTTCCTCCCCATACTAGAATGCAGCCCGCCAGCAGTCCGGGGTGGGGGTTTCCCCCTCACGTGCCCCAGAGACGCGGGAGGCCTTGGTTTGCCTCGGCCTGGTGAGCTGGTCAGTCTGATGGTATCACCATCGCTCCCTCAGGAAGGCGAGGCACGGGGGCTGTGGGCAGGATGGGGGCTCTGGAAGCTCTTTGGTGCCAATTCAAAACTCGTTTTATAGACTTCTAGTCGAACGTAAGCAAACACTGAAGCACGCTCAAACCAAAGGCAGTCCATTATTTTGGATCCATCGTTCTGGGTTTCACCCAAACTTGTCTCCTTCATTTAAGTTGGTCAGACACTAACAAGTTTGGGCTTTTCTCCCGGTTGTAATTCCAATACTGATACAGAGGAAGGAGGGGAAGCCTTCTCCAAAACTCACCTTTTGACTTCCCATGCCCTGCCTTCTGAGCATTTAACATGGCGAGCTTCTTCTGATTTTCTGAAATTTCCATGCCTGGATTTAGAAACAAATGTGATATATATTCAAAACAAGAGAAAACATTTCATAATAAAACTTGCAGAGAACCCATATTAACCTGAGGATTTCACCATAACCCGAAGCAAAGAACCTTTATCCTTAGGGAACTATCAGAGGTTGAAAAGACTGGAAAAGGAGAAGTAGCATGGATTATCACCAGGAAGGCCACAGGATTATTCTGCAAACCAGGTCACTTTAAACAGTGAAATGGGGTGCTGTTAATAATGATGCACCGACTACCTGTGTAAACCCAGATAAATGTCCCTATAGGATCACCCTAATTATTACACTAAAGGATGAGGCCATGGGAGGAGAGGACCAATCAAAGGGGTCCCAGGGTCTGTTCACCGACCTGCTACGGAAGTCACTGGTTCTACCCTGACAAAGGTAATGCGCATGGACATTGGACTTGAACTTCCCTACACTGTGAAGTTCTGTAGCAGAGGGACAATGTCTGCGTGGAGTGGGTGAGGGGGTGAAAACAAGGAGCTGGAAATGAGACAGCTGGAGATGAGACAAGCCAGGGTCAGAGGCAGGACGTGAGGACCAAAGGACAGAGATGAGGAAGACAGAGGCTGTGGCTGGGTGCTGCACCAGCAGGAGGGCTTCCCCCTCTAGGCAGGCCTCCATCCTGCTGGAAGGAGATCTGGGCTCTGCCTCTGCTGCTCTGCTGCGCGGGTCACTTATCAGGGCTCACCCTCTACCTCTGCACATGCTGCTCCCATCCTCGGCTTCTCGACGACCCTGACACCTGCCCCTGAAAGGTCTGAGGTCTCCTTCAGGCTCCATCACAGGCCCGGTGGCTTCTGCTGTTCCCAGGCCCACAGTGGCCTTTTATCTTATTCCCGCCCTCCATGCCCAGCCTGGTTTATGGCCCCATCTCCAGGATCCACCCACATGTGATGTATCAGGCACCTAGGCTGACGTAACATGCCAGGCAGGGGCCTGGGTTGGTCCTATTTCATTACTCACTCACACAGCTCATAGACTTAATGGCTCCAGGACTGACACATTCATTCATTCATTCATGTCTTCTGAGCACTCGCTATAGGGAAGCACTATACTGCAAAGAGGCATAAAATCAGGCTCCTCCTTTCTTTCTCTGTCGAGGGGCAGAGTTGAGCTGTGTTTAGAAGGGCCCTTGTAACAGTAGGTTCTATCCGAGAGGAAGCTGAAATGCCCCAACTTACAGATGACTCAGGCCTGCACAAGACGTGTCACGTGGCAGGTGAAGTCGGAGTTTGTAGCTCAGGCGTTCTGCATTTTAATAACTGTCATCTGCAAATATCTGAAGAATTCTCGGCATGACCGAGAGATGAGCCTTATGCTAAAGGGGCCTGAGACTCAAAAGCAGCATCAATATAGGGAAGTTGCTGGGAATCAGCCTTCCCGTCAGTAAAAGGACCCTCCTGCTTAGTGCAAGCGGCCACCTGCGAGGCAGTGAGCCCGTGTAATGAGGGTGAAGGTGTGGCTGATGCCCACCGGCTGAGAGTGTTTCAGGGGGAAGTCCTGCTTCCGACGGTGAGTTAGCCTGACCGACTTGTAAGCCCTTCCTGCCGGAACCTCTCGTGGGTGAGAGCAAAGTCTGTGGCCCAGGCTAGGGCCGGCAGCCGGGGACACACAACGTGGGAGGAGCAGAGAGCGCCTCCTGGTTTTCTTTCTGGCTTCCTCCCGGCAGGGGTGGGGAGCAGGGAGGGTGGAGGCCTTCTCCTCTATCCCGCACCACATGACTGTGAGGTCTGGGCTCACGTGGGCTCCAGAGATGACTATCCTTCATTCCACCTCATCTTCAAGGCCCACAGGCCCTGTGGCATCCCAACGTCATCAGTTTGTGCTCAAAACCCTCATGTGCCCAGGGTGCACTGACCCTTGGGCTTAGAGACCCTGGGTACCGTCATTGTAAATACCCAGGACAGCAGTTTCATAGGGTCGATCAATCCCTGGAGGGGGGCAGAAGCTGGGAAGGCAAGAGTAATACCAAGTATTCAGAAGCACTGCCTTAATTATGGTACAGGACGCACGGTCCTGCTTCCCGATGACAGAGATGGGAAACACGCAGGCAGAGGTGCTGGCTCTGCATCAGCATGGCAGCAAGGTCAAGTTAAAGTGCTTTAAGGCACAGCTGGAGAGGAGCCTCCAGCATCATCTGGCATTTCTCCCGGCCTGGGGAGTCACCAGCGTGGCTCACCTCGCGGGCACTCCGAGCTGGTTTTAAATGATACACGGCCATGTTGGAAGAGAGGGCAAATGCCTTAAGCCTCGATTTCCTCATCTGTCGAATGGGTATAACAAAGCACCCAGAGCTTGGGGTCGAAAGGGACAACCTCTGTAAACATGTAGCAGGGCAGCCCGTACGAAGTAAACACTGAATACGTGTTGCCTGTACAAACCGGCTCTGTCACGGTCTGTTCTGTAACAGACCAAGCTGAGAAGTATCTCCCTTTCCCACGGGTGGGATTTTCCTCTATGGGAGGGGGCCGGAGAATGAGGTTAGAAAGCAGAGGCAAACGACCCCGAAGGTGCTGCTCACCCATCTCCCGGTCCTCCTGCACCCTCCTCCTTTCATCCCTGCAGGCCTGCAGCCACCTCGCCTTGTCTTCTTGTTTTTTGGCACAAAACAGATGAACCTCGTCAGTGGTCTTGCTGACGAGCTTGAAAGCGTTTTTCACGTTGAGGTTCCAGTCCTTGTCCCGCCCGTCCTCCAGGTCCACGAGCTGCATGTCATCCATGTCCATGCGGCCTCTGTAATAGAGCATGTCCCTGCGCAGCAGGTCCTTCTTGCAGGACACGAGCTGGTGGTCAAACAGGAAGAAAGTCCGCTGCTGGCTCTTGCCTTGCTTAGTGATTCTGGTCAGCTCCCCAGAATGGATCAATTCTGAACTTCGGTCTAAAATGTCCAGTCCCTGGAAGGAGGAAAAGACATTTTCAGCCCTTCTGGTTCTGAGTCCTTCAAGTCTCAGGGATACAGGAAGAAGCCCTGACCCAGAATCTCCCTCAGGCTTTCCAGTTACATGAGGCCCATTCACAGGAGGGCATTTAAACCTGGGTTTACTAGTCTCCTGTGCATGAAACTTTTCTTTTTTTCCTACTCAATGGGAAAATGTCACAGTGCCTCTATGTTATCTGAAGCGTCTTCCTTATCAGAAAGGTCTGGTGAAAAGCATGCTAGATTAATAGAATCCAGGCAATGGGAAAGGGTAGCCAGCCAAGACTGATCCTCGGAGAAGACGGCGACTGAGGCGGCTTTCCGAGCCTGGGAACACAGCAGTGCAGACTCCGGCTTTCGAGTCAGACATACAGCAGCTCCCCGCAATAATAACTAGTTTAGGGTCTTGGAAACAAAAGGCCAGATGGCAAAATGGCCAGCAAGAAATTGGTAAACTTCTGATAATAAGTTATCCCCTAAATGTCGGAGTCCAAGAAGAGAAGGAAAAACACACTTTACAACATTCAGCTTGGGTCTAATCCAGTGCAACTTACGGTATTTGGTATGATGCTGGTCTTTGATTTATAACATTTTATTCTCCCTTAATCCCAATATTTTTGGAGACAAAAGATCTTGACTCCAAAATAGTTCTCTTGACTTGCCTAGAGCAATCCTGTGCCCTAGATTCCTCGCTTACAAAATGAAAGAGCTGGACTCAGTCATCTCTGAGGTCCCGTCCAAGCTCCAAAAGTCCATAAGGTCCTTGAAATAGAAGGATTTCTTTCCAGCTTTCACCGCTGTAACACTTTAATTAAAAACCTAACTTCTCTATTCAAACTTTCTCAATTCTTTAGGACAGTGAATTCAGACCAATTAATTTGATATAGGATCAATTTTGCTTGGTTTAAAAACAATCTAAACAGCATCAGCTTATTGCTCTTAACAGCAGCCACAGAGTGTAGTGGTTCCCAGCATGGATGCTGAATCCAGGTGGCCTGCCTGAGTTTGAATGCGGCTCTGCCACTTCCTAACTGTGTGGCCTTGGGCAAGCGACTTAACCTTTCTGCAGTTCAGTTTCCCTATCTGTTAAATGGGGGTGATAATAGTTCCTACTTCACTGGATTGTTGAGAGGAGTAAATAAGTTAAAGTTCAAACTAGCTTGGACCAGTGCCAGACCTGTGGTGAACACAATCCAGGCAGGAGCTATGGTCACTGCTGTTGTTTTCATCAATAAACAAACGTGTGCGTGATGGCCGCGCCCAACACTGCCCTGGCACCGCCCTGTATAATCCTCACCACAGCCCTGTGAGGAGGGCAGTATTTCCCCTTCGTCTCATAGATGAAAAGAGTAATCTTGCCCAGGTCGCACAGACTGAGACCAGGCAGTGTGACTCAAGAGTCCCTACTCCTGCCACACCATAATTTATATTTTAAACGTTCCCAGTTGCTCTCATGGAGCTTACCTCTAGCAGGAGAGAGAGAGCGTCAGAGTAAATTAGTTACAGACTTTCTTCAGAGTAGTTCCTGGTGGACGTGAGGAGTAAAGAAGTTAACTGCTGAATTCAATGACCTGCCTCCAAATACACACACACCACTAAAGCCGAGAGTATGAAGTACCATCCCAGGGCATTGAAGTATTCATCAAACAGACCAAAGGGGGGAGGGGGCGGGCGGCGCTGGACCGCGCGCCGTGGAGCAGGGCCCCCACTCACCTCCCAGCCCACGATGGACACCTGCCACCGCGCTATCTTGTCTATGCTCTCCAGCTTCCGTTTGCGCTCATTGATCAAACAGGCTACGTTCTTCATGGCCTCGTACGCCGCCTTTATGTTGTTGTAATCACTGCAAAGGGGGAGGGGCATTTCAACCACGTAACACGCAACTTGCAAACGAGGACTGACAAAATAATACGCTCCGTTCCTGACTGTGTACTGAGAGTCTAGACAAAGCGGCATTTAAACAACAGCCATTGTTCCCTTCTTCTCGTCCCTCCATGAATAGACTACAGTCCGCACAGGTTAAGGGAGCCGACTAAACGCAACCCAGAATTCCTTGGAATAAGAATGTTTTCATTCATTTCCCAGAAATCACAATGAATCAAAGTAAATGCACAAGAAATAAGTTTTAGTCACAGTGACAATGGACTATTTTCATTGATAACGAAAGCACAGTCTTCTTTATTGCTTTGATTCTGATATAGCCAGTTTTGCTATTATAAAGTACTTTAACACTCACAAACCATTGTCAAGAGGAATTATTTGCTCTGAGTCTCATCTTTTTGTTCAGGAAAGGACACGACAGGACACAAGCCACGGAAGTCTGATGGGGTGAGTTACGTGAATGCTAATGTGGCAGTTACCCCATCAACAGATCTTCATTTCTTGTGCTTTCCACATGCTACAGTCAGATCAACTGAAAATGTTCCCCCCGCAGGCTCCTGCTCCCAAGGCCTCTCAATGAAGGTACCGGGATGACCTACGCCACGGTTCTAACCCGCACACAGACTGGGCGGGAGCATGTCTAGTACCCAAGTGTTTTACATTCGAGTTTTGCTCAGATTAATAATTCAGGGACACGGGAACCACCCCTCCAGCTAATGAGCTGAACTTCACACCTAGCTCTTTTGTCTTGGGGGACGGACAGAGCCTTCGGATCTCAGTTGGACTGAATCAGAGAGCTCCTGCACAGTTGGGAAGAAAACGCCTTGGGCGCAGATTCTATTGTCTATTTACTAAACACAGCTGAACTCAGCTCCTGGGAAGTCCCCGGGCATTCCTCCACCAGCAGCCCCCGCTGTCTTTGGACAGGCCTATTCACAAGCAGAAGCAGAGCAGAAAGGAAGAACAAAACACAAACAGGGGCTGTCAAAATAACGGGAGCAAACCCCTCAGGGAGGCCTCCAGTAACGAAGAAACTGCAAAATAATTGTATTGTTTTTCTACAAGTTTTTCTGTCCAATTCCGGAAAAGAGGCAGAATGTAATGGTTTTCTAAAAAAAATTCTGTTGTGTTTTACTTAAGACAAGGAAACAGGCTTTCTGTCACTTCCTTTAAAATGATGTTTTTTGGAAATAGCCAAAATCTGCAAATGCCTCATAGTGGAAAATGCCCTTGAGAGAGAAGACTGAACTGCGGCAGGTGATGCTGTGGCCACAGCGTCTCCACCCTGGGAGCTCTCACCTGTCTGCCCGTGTCCTTCAAGATACCACTGCTTCTTAATTCTCTTATTTCTCTGGTTCCTCATCAAGGGGCCTTCTCATTCTTTTTTAAAAATTTAAAATTTGTGACTCTCTTGACTCTGTATTTTCTTTTCACCAAACTTTTCTGATTTTCCCATCAGAAAAAAACGTATAGCTCTCTTTCCTGTTATCTATTTCAGTGTACTCCTTTCTCTTATTCCTTTAATCCTAATTCTTTAACACCTATTTCTAGGGTCTATTGTTCAGGAACCTAGCTCTTTTTCTCTTTCCACCTTCCGATCTAATTGTGAAAAGATTCCCTTTCGAGCCCTGCCTGTCCAGCGGCAGAGGGGACAAAAGACCGAGCCATTCTCCGCACCCTCGGGGCAGGCACTGCCATAGCTAATCCCACTGCTCCCAGGGCAGCAGGTAGTTGTTAAAGCCTGGACTGCAGGGCTTTGCTACAGCAAATTCCCTGTGGGCGCAGCCTTGCCCTTCCTCTTCTCACCACATTCCTTCAAGACTGAACATTCAAGGGCTGCAGGTGTGTGAAAGGTTTGTGATGGTGACATGGCTGTCACGGACAAGGTTTGATTCTCATCTACAACAGTAAGCTTAACCCTAAAACCTTGCCCGATAATGGTCGTGTCCCCACTGGCATTCCAGTTGTAGCCTGGTGGGAATATGGGCAATGAACCAATCACTGCCACCTAAAGGCAGCAAACAGCCGGTCCTGCTGTGGTGACATCGCCCCACATCACGGAAAATGGGCACGCCCATCCCAATGTGAACAGCTGCTGTGTTCCTGAGGATCACAGCTAGATCATACACTACTCTGCACATGCAGGACAACGATGGAGGGGCTGCTATTAAGTAAGCAACGGATACCTTTTTGGCTCCCCTAGAAGAACTTACTTAGGTACAAAGTAAGCCCCAAAGGGAGATAGAACATTCAGGTAACCATGACGAGAAGCCCCGTGCTCAGAGCAAGAGGGAAAGGGGTGGAAAGAGTGACAGAGACAGAGCCGGCACCCAGGCGGGGTAAGAGAGCGCTGAGAGCCGAGCAGGAGCTCAGGAAGACGCGCCTCCCAAGCCGACCCTACACACCGCTCCACACCCCGAGTCCCTACTCTTCGGTAGTTCAAATTCTGGTATGTCCTCGCCACTTCTATCACTTCCTTTCTGGCACAGTAAATATTACTGCTATGAGAGCAAGCTGCTGTGAACCAACATAGGGAGCACGGGAGAGGAGGAAGGAAAATGCTTTCGACACCATACTTGTATTGGTCTAGTTCTTTTAAAAACTGTTTTTTATGAACTACTCAGTAGCTAGATAAGAGTATTTAGAGTATATGTCAATTATCAAGACCAATAACACAATAAAAATCCCCATGCGCTCAGGACTCAGTTTAAGAATTATTCTTATTTCTTAATATCTCTAGGAATGGGTATTATGGCCTCTTTGGTGACCCTATTTCAATAGTTACAATTTTAAACATTCTAAACAACCTGAAATGCTTTCCATACGGCTAACCGAACGTGTCAAGACTGACATCCAGCCCGTCTGTCGCTCCTTCTCTGGGAAGCCCTGGGTGAGCCCACAGGACTCAGTGGGCCAAGGGCAGCGGCCTTGCTCCCTGTTTTGCAGGGGTTCCCAGCTGGCCCCGCAGCCGCGCCCTCACCTGTGCTCCTGCGTGGTGTACTTGAGCAGCTCGGCCAGCTGCAGAGGGTATTTACAGATCTTCTGCACCGGCGTGAGCAGGAAGCCGTCAATGGCGATGTCGATCATCTGCTGGAGCAGGCGGCAGGCCTCGAAGAAGTGTCGGTACCGGCCCTGCTTCATCAGGCTGGACAGCTCCGCGCAGGCGCCCGGGTGGTTGTTACAGTACTCGGAGTAGATCGCAAAGCCCTCTTGCTGGGAAGGGAAAGCACAGCTTCATCAGGTGACGGGGTGGCTTTGGGCTGGGACAAGCACAGGCAACACCCCGCCTGTCTGAGGGGACATTCCTGGAAAGGCGGGCGAGGTTGCATGGGGCCCCAGGTAGTTCTGCAATGTTTTTCACACCTGGGCGATAATCCTGAATCTTCTCTGTGGGAAGGAACCACTTCAAGACTCTCAGGTGGTATTAAGTGGGGTCATGTGTTGTGGGCTGGAGGGAAAGGCTGCTCTGGGACTGAGCGCCCTGGTCCCTGTCGAAGTAGCCTCCCACAGACCCCAAAAGGGCATGTCACAGGTGCAGGGGACTTCCCCAGGGGCGGGGACCCCTGCCATCCCCTCGTCACCCCAGCTTGGACCTGATGTTGAAACAGTCGAGGAGGAAGGTGCTGCTCAGAAGCCCATCTCACTCCCTCCTGTCCTCTTCACTTTCATGGAGAAACTTCTCCACTGTGACTGAGAGCTAAGGATTCAGAGCTGCCGCCGCCTGCTGCTCACAGGTCTGCTTACTGTCCCCCCGTCTGGCTTCCACCCCGGGTGCCCTGAACTGCGCGGAAGCCGTGCTCACCTCCATCCTCCGTGACACCGGCCCTGCTCCTAGCCTCCCCTCCGGGGCCGTGGCTCCCAGGACGCAGGCCTCAGGGTCGGCCTGGGGCCTTGGCTCCTCACCCCGAGAGTGTCTCCTCACTGCGGCCACGCCCGCCCTGTACGAGCTGCGTGCCTTGCTGGCCCGCCTGCTCCGCGGCTTACACACGAGTGTGCTCAAACTCAACACACCTGCAACCACACTCCTGTCTCTCAGGAAGACAGGTTGCCTAACGCACCTGTGATTAGAATCAAAACCCTGCAGGCAGTTCTGATGGCTGCTTTTCTTCGTTGCCCATGACCAGTTTGTCCTCAGAACTCCCCATCTCAACAAACCCCTCTTTGCGTCTCCACTGCCACCACCCTCACCCAGGCCCACCTTGCGTCCCTCCCCAGCTCTGTCCCTAACTCTCCTGTTCTCCACGCAAGATCCACTGCCCCAATTTCCGTCACCAGGCACCTGCCTGCTCTGCAGCCTGACCTTCGCTGACCTTCGAAGCTTCCCTCTCACGACTCTCCTGAACCTTCTCTTCAGGCCAGACAGGTCTGTTAGAAAGCCCCAAATAGGACCAGTGCACCTATGGGGCCAATCCCCCACCTGCACGATCACCACAGCAGTATTTTCAGCTATTCAGAAACAACCCCTCCCCACAAGCATCAGCTCCCACTCTCCCTCCTCTATGGAGCGACTCAGCTCAGCACCCAGCAAGGGCGACCTAAGGAGGCGGTGCTGTCATTGCTATTATTATTACTACTATTGTGGCCTCGGTCTGAACTCGCACCTGCCACTTACTGACTAATGCGCCACCTTGGGCCAGTCGCCCTCCGGGCTTTAGTGTCCGCATCCGGAACACGGGGAAGGTCATCATGCCCACGTCAGAGCAGGGCAGGCGCTAAGAGAAGGAAACCCTGACAACAGCGCTTAACGTGCAACAGACACTCGAGAAGTCTCGTTAGAGATTACTCCAGATACATCCCCTTAACCCCAACTGCATAAAAGTGGGAAGATTTTGAAAAAATGGACTTGGGGTATTTAGGTAAAGATTAACCATATAAACCAATTGACTTAATTTACAAATGACATCTCCATCCTATAGGAAATTAATCTAGCAAACAAAGAAGAACTAAAACAAAACAAAAAGGACTCCTCTTTTTAGTGGAGAAACATTTCAAAATTATTTAACCAGATGTGATTAACAAGAAGTAATGGGTGACATACATGTTGAAGAAAACAGGATCCTATTTCACTTAAGTGAGGTTCCTCTTTATTGTACTGTTTCTCAAGGTCTTTCAGAAACTTTCTTTGGAATTTGTAAATATCTTCGATGTTTCCAAAAATGGTGGCTAGCTGTGCAACAGTGAACATTCCCGTGTGCTTGCGACACTGTCGAATATACCCCTGGAAAACAGGAAAGTAAACTTTAAAAAATTAACTTAGAAATTATTTATTTGAATAATACAGGTTTTTTTTTTTTTTTTTTTTTTTTGGCCAAAAGCCACTGTCTTGGAGTGGATTTTAATTAAAGAAAAGTATTTTAACCTCCATGGGTCCCTGGTGGGGTAATCATACTTCGATGATTACAATGTGCCATAAATATTTTAAAAACAAAAGGAGGGGCCGGCCTGGTGGCTCAGCAGGTAAGTTGCCACGTTCTGCTTCGGCAGCCCGGGGTTCGCTGGTTCGGATCCCGGGTGTGGACATGGCACCGCTTGGCAAGCCATCCTGTGGCAGGCATCCCACAAGTACAGGGAGATGGGCATGGATGTTAGCTCAGGGCCAGTCTTCCTCAGCAAAATGAGGAGGTTGGCGGTAGATGTTAGCTCTGGGCTGATCTTCCTCAAAAAAAAAAAAAAAAAAAATTTTAAAAAACCCACAAAACACAAAAGGAAAGAGAAAAGGTATGTGTGGTTGGATTTATAATTCAAGAAACCATATAAAGGTTCCAGATCATACTCATGAAACAAGTTGCTTGGTTTCAAATACTAGAGATCAAAAACTGGTATTTTCTAAACTCTTAAGATAACCATTCTCCCATCCCTAATTCCATTTCATGGCCAAGAAGACCTGTCACATACAGAATGCCATCGCCAGCTCAATAGCTCAGACAGCTCTGCTCACTATCATGGCAGAGCAGCAAGAACACCCCACCCAAGGATTCCACCATCACCTACTGCCTACACACAGTGTAAGCCTGGAGATCTCTCACCCGAAGCCTGCACTGATGAGAGCACGATTAATTCTCTGTGGAAAATGCCAGTGGTACTATGGCTGGGGCAGGAGTCGGTGCAGTAGGAAGGAAAGGCCATAAGTCTATGTAATGATCATTCCCAAATCAGCATCGTATAATTATACAGACTAACCCGACCGTATGGTAAAACACATACCACCGACTAGTTGATAGGAATTTTAGCAAAAAAGACAACATAAAGGCTCCATGTACAGGCTCTGGGCAGACTGTCCCATTTAAATCCCAACCCCACCACTTCAATTCTCTGTGCCTCAGTTTCCTCACCTGTAATAGGAGCTGACAGGACCTGCCTAGTGGGAGTGCTGTGAGTATAAGAGGAGTTAACCCAGGCACAGGGAAGGCACACAGTCAAGGCTCAACGATTACTGGCAATTATTTTTACTTTCCTAAAATACGACTTTAAAGAAACTCCCTTAAGCACATATTTATACAGAACAAGACGGTGGGCACAGATAATCTAAACACTGGTATGTCTTTATCTGGCCAGTTAATCCAGTTAGAAAATGGCCAGCTCTCCCCCTTCAGCCTGTCTTCAGTGCCAAACTGAGGGTGCAGAGGTCAGCGCTCACAGCCAGGACAGCCGGAGTCATCAGACCGGGGGGACTGCGGCTCAGCATCAACACTTGTACAAAATCCATGAAAATTAAAAATACCACAGGAGAAATAAATTTATAGCCGAGTAGAATTATCATGACACTGCAGGATATAGCCTTGGACATGACCAGATAAAACAATTTTTTTGTCTGCATCTCAGTGACTCAGAATCTTGTCTGTGAGTCAGTGATCGGATGCAGTGGGTTGTAGACCCTGACAATCCTTTGATTCTTTGTAAAGTCAAGTGTGCTCCTAAAGGGTGCTGCCTTCCCTGGAGCTAAGACCATTGAAGACAGAGCAGAATGGTGCCCTGAGGACAGGACTGGCTGCAACAGCGGTCCCAGAGCCACAGATGCTCACCAAGGCAGACAGCAAGTGCCACACGAGCGAGCAGTCTGTGCAGGGACAGACGGGCAGGAGCGGGGGTGAGGGGAACCAAGGGGCGCAGAAAGTATGTAAACTTGAGGGCCTGTGTGGCGACACGGGCACGTCATGCACTCCTACAACGGCCTCAGTGAGGCCACAGGGTCGGGAGCCCTACCTCGCAGATGTCCTTGAGGTGCTTGATGTACACGCGCTCAGTGTTCATGATCTCCTGGATGACGTTGGTCCGCATCTGGTGCTTGCTCTCAGAGTGTTTGTGGCGGCTCCTGCCAGCGTCCTCCTCCGGCTCCTCGCCCTGGGAGCTGCTGGAGTTCTCCGACAGCTCCTCCTGATTGACGCGCAGCTGCGGTCCACACACAGGGGACAGGTGACTTGGGGGAAGTGGCCCCGGAACCAGGCAGGCCTTCCTGGTTTCCACTTCTCCATGACCAGTTAGGAGGCAGCCTGGCTCCAGCCTAAGTCTTCACGTCCTTAGCAGAGCCACACTGTGACAGTGGCCCCAAACGCAGCAGCAATGCCAAACAACAGTTTACCTTGAAGTTTTCCTCCAACCCAGTCTAGCAACTTAAAGCTTTGATTAAAGCAATTCTAAAGGAGTGAATCTGTAGGAGGAGTGAGTTTGGGCCTGAAACCATTCTCCCGCTCCCTGATAGACACTTGTGAAAAGTGGGAAGTGCCACACACTTACTCTGACAAAGCTGGCGGGGAACCAGGCTTCCTTATCTTCATTCCGGCCCCACCACCAGTCCTTGTTGGAGGCTTCTAGAACCTGGATCACGTCTCCTGCCTTGAAGCCCAGTTCCTGGTCGTCCATGGTCACGTGGTCCCACAGGGCTTCTGCGCAGACCACGCTGCCATCGCTGATCAGCTGGAATGGAGACAAGCGGGCACGCTTAGGGCAAAACTGGGCAGGTAGGACAGCGTGGGAGATGCTGTGCGCCCTCTGGTTGACACGACACCTTCTGGTTCTCATTTGTGTACACCCATGGCTTTGGTCAATACTTACTGTTCGACTGTTATACAAAATGAACGGAGAAAACCTTATCAGGGAAAACAAAACCAGGTGGGTATCTCTCACACGCTCTTAAAGGAAACCCCAAACCCACATCCTAAAAGATCTATCAAGAGCTCCCTTATCTGTAGATCAGTTATCTAAATTGGAATATCTGGAATATTGACCCCAGAAATGGTTTCTGAGCAGATGTCAGAGTTCCCAGCCTCCAAAGGTTATGCCCAGACTTCACTGCAAGACCCTCACAGCTTCACCCAGAGCTTACTATTCATGCTTTATTCATGATTTGAATAAAACTTCTACCTAAATGCAATTACAGAGAACACAGAATGACTTCTGGGTATTTAACAATTAATAATAAAAGTAAAGAGTGGACACAGCTCATGTTGGTCTACCGCAGGGGCAGATGACTGTGCACGTCCCCTCAGCTCTGAGGGACATCATCATATTCTACAGCGACAAGTGGGGACATGAACGGGGATGCTGACTCACTGAGGACTTATGCTCCGTGCAAGAACTCCAAGTGCTTGTACAACTGAGAGGGATGAGCTTTAGTTACCGGAATCACATAAACTGTCCTTAAAATGCTGGAAAATCAGTGTTTTTCTAATCAGAGTTCCAGGTTTTAGAATATGATTAGTAAGAAATCATCAGAGAGCAAAGCCTGAAGTGATCCTGGCCCCTGAAAATCGGTACCTAACATTCGCCGGTGTCGTGTGGCATTCCAGTACCTCATTGATGGCCAGCTGTTCCCCGCCTGGCTGCAGGTATCTGGGGTTGGCCTGACACAGGTCTTCATAGCTGTAGTCCTCCTCACTGCCATTGTCATCCACTAGGGCAGAGGACTCAGTACCTCCATCTGAAGAAACTAGAAAAAAAAGAGAAGGCATGGTTTAAAAGACACGGCTAACAAAAAAATGTTAAATAACAAAACAAATGGCCTTTGAGAACATACCCTCAAGGGAAAGGAATCATTTTTATTTTACCCAGAATAAGAAATCATTAGGAAACTTCTACTGATCTGTTAATCCAAAGGCAGCAGTTGATGCTAAGAAGAGCTGGGGCGGAGTGTCACATTAAGTGAGAAGAGGAACATTCCAGAGAGTACTGCCAACGTTAGCACAGTGTTATTTTGTGAGGTAGGATATTGAGTGAACTATGAGGGATATAGTTGGAAATTTGTGCTCCAAAGTGGATGTAAAAATCATAAATATGGGTAACAATGTTTCTAAGCAATGTGTTGAGGAGGAAAAGAAAATGAAAAATACAGCTTTTTTTAAAAAAAGTGTTCTGCTTCCATCTTTTAGCTGTAAGGCAGCAGTGCTACTGAACCAAAAGGTGCTGAGAGCATCCTAAGTAAGAACACGCGGTCACTCTCACTAGCTGTCCCTGAACGGGAGTGCTGGAACTCACTGTGCCAGCACAGGAATGAGACAGAACCTTTACCAAACAAGAGGAAGACCCTTCCAGGATGCGAGCAGCACTGTGCACTGACCACCCTGGCGCTCAGACTGTCTTTCTGGAGACAGGACTACTCTCCCCAAGGCTCATCTGTCACCGAGTGGAGGGAATTCTACAGAGAAAGAGAATATTCCTGTGAAGAGGACGGGAAGAGGCTTCACGGAAGAGGCAGCTGGGTCCTCAGGATACTTGAGATGCCTCTTAATTGAGAACAAAAAGCGGCTCGACTTGAAACACATGTACATGGACACCAGGACATCCGATAAAAGATCAGACTGGAAAAGTAAGGTGGGGGCCTCAAGGGCTACAGTGAGCAATGGGGCGGTTCTTTGAGGGTTCTGAGTAAGGGAGTGGCAAGTGTGAAGAGAGGTCCCCTGCCACTACAGAAAGAGTCACAGAAGCCTGGTCTGAATTCTACCCCTGACCGTCCATAGGCATGGGATCCTAAGCAAGCAACTTAATCTCTCTGAGCTTCACATCCCTCTGCTGTAAAAAGTATTTTCTTTCTTTTTGGAGAATTAAGTGAGATGATGTGTGTCAAATTCCTGGCATCTTTGATTCACAGCGGGGACTGACTCAGTGAACGTTATTGTGATGGCAGTGAGCGTGGTGGGAGCTGGGCTGTGAGGCAGGCACTGGACCCAGGGAAACCAGCTGGGGAGACGGCAGGTGAGTTGCAGTGAGTGGTACTAAGGTGCGGCACCAGGGAAACGGCAAAGGGAACTGAAATTGAGAATGTTGTGCAGGTCGAGCTGAGGTCTGGAGCAACCAAGAGAACAAGTCAATGATAATTCAGAAAATCCAAGTCACTGGGAGAATTAACAAGACAGGAAAGTCAGAGGAGAAGCTAGTGTGGTGGGAACGATGAAGGTTAGTTTGAGATGGCACTGGGAGATGCTGTCTGCCCTTGCTTTTCTCAAGGACTTGAGAATCTGAATTCCTAGTAACTTTACCTGCAGGGGACAGGTCTACTTTCTAAACTAAAGAACTTTTTTTAAATGAGCTATTTTCTATTCCTTGTTTTACAGGAAGTCTGTAAATCTGATGTGCACTTGACATTCACAGCCCATCCCGTCTGGACGAGCCACAGCTCAGGTGCTCCACTGCTCCCTGGACCACGCCCCCAAGTTCTGCACACCGGGTTCCCTATCATTCCACCCGTGCTGCTGCTGTGAGCAACTTTTAAAAGCAACACATTTGGTAAACAGAGCCTAGAATTCTTATACTAAAACAATGAAAACTATTGAAAAAGATCTGGAACAATGGGGGGTAATAAACACTGTGAAAATAAGCTATATGATTATATTTCATGCATCGGATTCTTAAGTTTTCCTCGCCAAGCATACACAGGACCACGATTAGGATGACAAGTTCAAGCCAAGTAAAGGAGACAACAGAGACACGCTGAGCACATGGAGAACAACGGTGGGAGGCAGAGCGTGAGCCGGGTTTCACAGGGTGGCCCGCTGCTCCCTGTGGCCCCGTCCTCTGGGCCTGAGCTCTGCACAGAGCCCCTCTCAGTGACGCCCAGCAAGCCAGGTCTCTACAAGGGCCCATGCTTACATATGCTTTCCCTCAGCCTGAGGGGCCCCTCTGCACCTGGGAAACCTCCACAACCCAGCTGCAGTCACCCGTTCTTCAGAGCCCTCCTGTGAGCCCAGGTGGAGCCAGCTGCCCCCAGGCTTACTTCTACGACAGCGCTTGCATGGTGAATCACAGCCCATCAGCCTGCATATGTGTGTCCCAGGTAGGTAAGCAGGTGGCCTCCCCATCGAGGACAGGGTGCTGGACATCAGGTCAGGGAACTGGCGATGAGCTGATGACTGTGCAGCTGAGCTGGAGCTCCTGGAGGATAAGTGAGTCCCGGACTCTGACCACGCGTGCCCAGCACCATCTCACGCCTCCCCTCCCCTCCCTGTTCCCATCCCCAGCCTCACGTGGGAAAGATGGCGTGCGTGTCAGAAAGGTAAAAGTGAAGGTAGGCAGCCTCAGGGATGAAGGCATTGCAGCGGAGGAAGGTTCCTGAAGCTGACCACAACGTCCAGAAGCAGATGACACCTCTCCAGACCCTTGGCACTGCCTCCTAGGCCCCCAGCTTGCTAACTGACTGACCATGGAAGAGAAGCAGCACCTGGCCCACGGCACCACGGGTGTCCCGGGTGAGGGGAGTGTAGGCAAGCGGGTAGCAGAGAGCCAGCTGTGTGTGTGCATGAATGTGCGTGTGTGTCCATCCCTGGGAGAGAGCGAGACCACATACCAGGGTCCTCTTTCAGGGGGGCTTCCCTCGGGAGTGCAATGCTGCCTGTGCTTCTGCTGTCTAGCGCTGGGGGGTTGGGTAGGGGTCTTGAGGAAGTCTGGCCGCCCTGTCTGAGCAGCATGCGTGAGCCTGTCTAGAAGCCTGGACGGCATGTGGTGACTTCCGCCTCCAGTGCCAGGGTCAGAGTGCTGCTGGCAGAGGACGCGAGGTCACCTGGTCTAGCGCACTTTCCTGGTGTGTGTGTTTAGCGGGGGGTGTGTGGGGAGAAAGTCTTGAGGAAGCAACTATATTTGTACATGCATGAGTCTGCCTTAGACTACAAAGAAAACACCACTAAAGCTGAAAGCTTTCTAACTGGAGGCCTTAGAGCAGCTGCCCAGTCCATCACGCCCAGCAATCGTGTGGGTTAACGGCTGAAACAGTCTAAGGCTCCTAGGTGAGGATACACACAACCCGTGGTCTGTGAGGAGACCCACGGGGGCAGGATCTTCCAACTTCAGCACGCACTGGTCTGGCAAGGCTGGCACCAACGGCATTTCTCCTCAGCACGTTCCACCGCGGGTGAGCCCAAAGAAGCAAAGCTCAGTAAAATGAGGGGCCTGGGCCTCCTGCCCACAGCAAAGCCCTGAAAACGACACTTTCTCCCTCAAAGACCCACTGAACTGTGTTTCCCTGGGGAGAATTCTTTACCTCCTGATCTGGCTGCTGCTATGAAAATCAATAAAGAGGAAAAAAAAAGCCAGCGGTGGTAACGTACAATTTCACAATTTACAGGAGTCAAGTGAAAAAAGGATTCCATTGGAAAAACGCAGACTTTTACAGGAGGAACAGCAATAGAGTTCTCTGGAAATAGACGCAGACTTCACACACTAGGCGGTCTCTTAGGCTGCTCCTATAAACACTCAGGAAAGTAGCTCTGGCTGAGGTGGATCACGAGAGAGATTTCACAGGGAGCGTTTCAACACCACGGATGAATATTTACTGAGCCCAAGGAAACAAGATGGTTCTGCATGCTCGGGTCAGCTGACGCAGCCTCCCAGCGGGTAAGCGCGATGCGGCCGGAGGCCTGGGGCGGGAGAGACGCACTATGTACAGGGAAAGGTGAAGGAATTTGGAGTAAACATCCCTGAGCAAAGGACCTAGCTTTACCAACTCTCTAGCTAAATGACCTTGGAGTGAGTCACCAATCCTCTGCCAACCTCAGTTCTCCCCTCTGTAAAATGGGAATAAGTTTACATGTTTTATCTACTCAGAGGTCATTCTTTTTCTTCTGCCTCTTACATCTCATGTCTAGCTCATCAGCACATCCTGTCCCTCCCTTCAGCACGTGACCAGACGCTCGCCACTTCTCGTGGGTTTTCCACCACTCAAGCTTGGTCCCCTCCAGCTTGGCCGCTCCAGAGGGTCTCCCTGCTGCCACCCCTCCCCTCCCCTCCCCTAAGATTCTCATCAAAGCAGCTGGAGTGATCCTGCTGAACCATTTGGAAGTCAGATCGTTCGTTCTGCTTTTCCAAACTGTCCCCAGGGGAGAAAGCCAGGCCCTTGAAGACCATTCCCCCAACACACTGCCTCAGCTGCCCTCTTGCTCAGCCCCGGCCTGACGGCTCCTCACTTCACACACCCGGCACCCCTCCTCAGGGCTGCTCCCTGCGCTACATCCCTCCCCCAGCACACAAACTCCAGCAAGTCCTTCCCCGACCATCCCATCTCAAACTGCAACTCCCACTCCCGCCCCATCTTCTTCCGGGTTTATGGTCCTCCATAGCACTTATCACCATCTGATACATTTTGTTTGTTGTCTCCCTCCTCCAATTAAAATGTAAGCTCCATAAAGGCAGTGAGATTGTCTGCTTTGTTCTTGACCGTATTCCTAGTACCTAGACCCCACCTGGCACACCCAGGTGCTCAGAAAGTATTTGTTGGATGGACAGAAATACAGCACACAGACTAAGAGCAGACCTTTGGGGTCAGACAGACCTGGCTTCAAATCACAGCACTGCACAATTTGTCTTTAGTGTGAGTCCTTGGTCAAGTTCCTTTCCCAGCTTTGTTGTCTGTCCAATGTGGATAATAATACCCATCTCACAGGGTTGTTTGTAAATTCTCAACAGGTAATTGCTATTATTACTTTGCTGTGAGCCTCAAATGGA